TCTTTTCGACTTGTTATCGCCCAAGCGTCGAAGGTAGCCTTTTTTCTATTCCTACCATAGCTAGTTTCACTTAGAGGAAAAGCTTTTATCGCGGGAGAAAATGCGGAAAAAAGTTTCCGATATATCCATCGTGTTCCATACGTTCGTCCCATCAATATTCAGCCAGCGTAAAGAAAAAGTTTCCCCATTTACTTCAACAAAACTGGGTTTTTTTACATTCTTTCCGAATGGTGAAATTGAGCGTGGCGTGTTACATTTTTTTGACTAGGCACTTCTCACGTGATAATAATTTTTTTTAATGTACATTTTTATCTGAAACATTATACAACCCTTATCGAGAAAGTGGTCAAAACTAAATTTAAAATGTAAAGTTCAAGCTGGTATTGCAATAAATGAAAATATTATTTAAACACTGTCTGCATTTAACAGAGAAAGTCAAATACACTGACAGGAAAATTCCACTGTAATATAAATTGCTCTGAATATATTTTTATACATTAATCAAAGTTTCATGGTTTTTAACGTTTAATAATTGAATCTTTGCCTATAAAAGTAAAAAAATGTAAATTGCAAGGGAAAAAAAGACATAAAATTTGTTTTAATTTTGTTTTAGATTTTTAATTAACATTTCAATATTCCGTATATCCTCTTCTTGCTTAAACTACATCTCGAAGACGCTTCAGCATACTTTCTACCAGTCTGGAAATGTCTCTTTCCTGGAGGTTAGCCCATTCTTCACGAAGAGTCCTTTCAAGATCGTGAAGTGTATCAGGAAGTGATGGACGTGCTCTTATTCGTCGTTTGAGGTTATCCCATAAATGTTCGATGTGGTTCAAGTCTGGAGAACGTCCAGGCTAATACCCTCATGTTATGCTGTTGAAGGTAGGTTTGTACTATATATATTACGCAGGGCGGGCGACCAGGATCCGAGGGGTTAAAAGCCTAGGTAGGCCCGTACCCCATCCCTAAAAGGTCCGGGAACTGGTTGGCTCACGAGTCCTGCATAAACCTTTTGGACCTATTCACAAACCCCAAGATTTTGGACCATTTTATCTTGCGGAGTGTTTTGATCATGTCCTCTCCTTCGAAAGTTTCAAATCTTTCCCTAGCATACCTATCACATTCTGCAAGGTAGATTCGAGCCGTTTCTTCCTTTGTTTCACAGAAGCGGCAGAAGGTCTGGTAGAGTACCCATTATGAAGAGTGTCTTCTCAAGGGGCAATGGCCCGTTAGGATACCTATCAGCCTCCTAGAGTTAGAGAATAACCATTTCGCTTCTTTTGGTTTGATTTCCTTCAGAAACTCCTTTGATTGCCTGTGTCCGGGGGACATATTCCATTCTTTAAGGAATTGTTTCATGCCCCAGCAACTAATACTCTCTTTCGCTGTGCTTATAGAGTGGGGTAATACCGGTTGTGGCCCGACAAACGCAGTATTTGATCCTTCTTTGGCCAGGCTGTCCGCCTCTTCATTGCCATAGTGCCCCTTATGAGCTGGTATCCATATGAGGGTTACCCTATTCTCGTCCCTAGTAGTTATCCTATTGATAAGTTCAACGGTTTCCTCTACCAGCCTAGATGTAGATAACTCTTTTTGTAATGACTTAAAACTGGCCTGACTGTCGGAAAAAATTCTAATATCTTTTCCCTTAGTATTGTTATCCATGAGTGTTCTACAGCAAACATTGATGGCCCAGACCACAACCTGAAAGGCTGAGGTGTTATTACCAAGAGGGGAGGAGATGCTGATTCCTAATTTGGGTATATGTATACCACACCGCTTCCCTTGTCCTTAATGAGTGAGCCATCGGTGAAGCAATCTATGCTATTATGGTCATCATCCGAATTATAGTTATAATCACATGGAGTAACTACCTGAAAGTGTTTTTTCCCCAAAGGTGTTTTAACCTTTTTGTCGCTAACACTTAGTAGTTGGTTATTAACCTTACTCAGTAAATGTAGAATTTTTGAGTGTCCTATATTGTTTCCCTTATGATTCTAGCTGCTTTCACTAATTAATCTATAGCAGCTGGTTTGTGCTCTGACCTTGACCTCTATGTTAGAGGTGTAGTATTGGTTATCATTTCTAGTGCTAGGGTAGGTGTAGTGGGAAATGCTCCCGTCATCATCATACAACCTAGTCTTTGAAATGATCTTAGCTTGTTAATAGCCCCTTTATTTTCTAGCCCTTTCCACCATACTAGGGCTGCAAATAGAAATCTTGGTAGTGTAATTGCGGTATATATCCATTTGGCCACCCAAGGTTTGATACCCCATGTTCTACCAACAATTCTCCTACATTGCACCATGGATATTGTGCCTTTCCTTTGTATATTTTTAATGTGGCCTTTCCAATCATGTTTCCTATCAAGCGTTATCCCGAGGAATTTGATTGAATCCTTTAGTTTTAATTCGATGCCCTGAAATTTTGGGTTTTTGAAGTTGCCTAGTGATCTTCTCCTGCTAAACATTATCAGTTCCAGTTTAGCTGGATTAATCGAAAGACCTTTATCACCACACCACTCGGATAGCAACCCCATCGCCTCCTTCATCAGTAGTGATAGTCAGAGGATCCCTACCCGTGATCATTATGGTACCATCGTCTGAAAATAAGGTTTGTACTATGTGGGGCGACAAATGGACGGGCATTACCCTGCATTAGAATAGGATTGTCGCTGTCGAGGCAACGCATGATGTTTCAGAATTTCATCCACATAGCGAATGGCCGTCAAAGATCCTCTACGAACAACAACTCTGTCCGACTCTCATTTGAAATTCCCGCCCATCACTGAGCTACGTTGAAAAGGCTCTGGGAAAAATTAAAGACTTCGTACCTTTCATTTCGCCTCCTCCACACTCTTTCACGCCCATCTGGCGATCGTAGAACAAATCTACACTCATCTGTGAAAAGTACAGCAGACCAATCGTCCAATGACCAATGGCTATGTCTCCAGCAAACGCGAGCCGTACAATTCCATGTGTTTTGGTCAATTCTGGTACTCTAGGTAGGCCGTCCACTGGAGCTGTTGCACGGCCGAATAGGGCCGGTTGATCCAAAAGCGAAGAAACGAATGAGCACGCGTCCATTAGAATTCGTTCGGTCGTGTTAGGCCGTGTACGACCGAAGCACTTTCCGATCCAAATAAAGTTGGATTTTCCAGTCCTATTCGGCCGAATGGTTACTTCGAATTCAACTGTCAACCACGTGACATCAAACGCTCACCATTGTTAAACGCCGTTCTTTGCTTTTTGCTTACCTTTTCGTTTCGTTTTCATTTCGATGGATTGCAAAAAATTGATAATTGCGGTTGAGGAGCAGGCTCATGGGACATGCGTGATCCACTCTATCATCGGAGAGATGTCCAGCGTAAGCTGTGGTCAAGGATAGCTTTAGAAATGGAACTTCCAATATTTTTGTTTATTTCTTTCATTCCATTTGCATGTAATCTAAGAATTTTCGAGCAGCAACAAATCTTCTACACCATTTGGGCTGTGTCGTGAACTGACGAAAATCGGCTACAGTGGACGACGGCGTTCGGCTATATTGCCGGTCGTCCTTTTGGTGAAATAGTTCGGCTGTCGTAGTTCGGTTCCAATGGACGAGCAGACTTAGGGGGCAAAAAGCATCAGTCCAAAATGAATTAATCTCCAGAACCACGCCTTCTATGTTAGGACCCAGTTTCTCGAAAACGTCTAACGGCATCTCGTAGAGATTCGTAGGGAACTCAGATGTCAACGCGCATACCTGATGGAACGTCCATCATCAATAACTGCCAAACCACGCGCAACATCCTCAGCACTAAGTGGCATTTTTAAGTTTAAAAATTGCAGTTGACAAAACAAAGATGAAAGCTATTATTTTATTGCTTCAGAATTCCAAAAACACTTTAAATTCCTTAAAAAGTAAATGTTGAAAAATTCTTTATCCTTGTTTTGGATTAATGATTAAGTGTGTTTACCTTTAATTGATCAAATTTAAAACAGAGCCAAAACAAATATTTATTGATAAAAACAATGAGACATATTAAGAACAGAATTTTCTTTTATCGAGAAAATGAAAAAAAAACTCAATTGGGTGGAATTTTTTACCTGTCAGTGTACATAAGCGTTTTTTATCAACTGGGAAAAGGAAGAGAAAAAATTTCTTAATTGAATTTTTAAGATGAATTTTGCAAATTACTCGTCATATTCTTATTGTATGCCAACGAGAAAAGGATTTCCCGGGGAAAAAAGCAATGTCGGATGATACAAATTTCCTCTTTGAAACCCCTATCAAAGGGCGAACTTTGGTCGTTTAAGGATGCGTGAGCCTCGCCCCGGGCCGAATCGCAAACGTCCTTTCCATTCCAGAGAAAATCACTCGGCCGTTATACGATTTTAAACTACGAAGTCACACATGTGCCCTGTTTTTAAAAAACTCGACAAAAATTTAAAAAAAGTTTTGGAAAATTTGTTGGCCAACAACTGTCTAGGCCAATATGTCTTGTGAAAACTAAAAGCTCAAAATGACATCAAGGATATGTCAATCTTGAGGGAACAAGTACGTTATTTTCTTCGCGAAGACGTAAGCAAATATTGGTGAAAGTTTCTTGGTAAGCCGCCTAACGGATTTTCCCGGATTTTCTTCGACAATGCCTCCCGAGGCAACATTTTCATATCAAGTTTTTAAAGTATACTATAAAACTTCCTTAGAGATATGTTACAAAATGTTTTATTATATCATTAAATCCTATAAAATATATAAAGTTTATAGTAAGTGATTAGGGGGTCAGATTCGTATTGACGCGCAAGCGGTCGTTGGTTCGAATCCCAGTGATTTTTAATTGAGAATAATATGAAAAAAATTATTGTAAAGTTTTTTTATTCCTCGTCTGCCACACCCAAAGATTAAAGTTGAAAATTAAGCCCTCCTTTATGACAGGAATTACTTTATTTTTTAAAGTTTTTTAAAGCTAAATTATCATTTTATTCAATCAAACCAATAAAAAAAAATTCACTCACCCTCAATGACCTCCACAGGATATACACCTTAAACAATTCAGAATATCATTTGTTCCTTTCCATGATAAATAATTTAAATTTGACAAAAAAATTAATTCATTCAAGACAATAAAAAAACGACATGTTTTTCCCAAAAGTAAATAATTATATAAAACTCATGAAATTAAACGTGAATTCTCTGTATAAATTATATAAATTTGTTCAAAGTCAAAATAAAATTTACAGGGCTGGTAACAAATATCTTTCTGCATGAATTCCTAAATCTCTAGTGAAGAATAAACCCTCTATTGATTCTGTCTAATCCTGTTTATCGAACCGTGTACTCTAATCGCTACTGCATTTCATTTGCAGTTAACGATCGCCATGGGAAAACCGATGAAAGAAAACAGTGAGACACAGACACCCATTCATGGAAATGGAAGCACACTATATGACCCCGGAAACATCCGGACATACTCGTTGGGACAACCTAGTATTAACAGATTGTAACCAATGCAATAGCAGTTAATGACCTACTAACTTTTTTGAAAAGGATGGAACGAAATGAACTGTACTAAACAGCTAGGAAACTTACAATAATAACAAATAACCCAAAAGTCTGCAGTGCTTAGAAAATACCAAACTCTAGCTTCTTAGTATCCTCATCTTCTTCTTGCCTTGCATATAACCCTGACCACCATCACGACAAACCCACTCTGAATACAGCAAAAAGTAGAGCAAAATGGCAAGTTTAGGTTGGCTAAAATTACCGGAAACGACCAACTCACAGAGCTAAACGACATAATCTACTGAACCAAGAAGATCCTGGGAAACAATTGTAGCAATGGCATACTACTACATAAAGAAAGATGAACTGAACTAAGAAACTATGACATGTACATGGACATCACACCTAATGCTGAGTTTGAAGATATTGATTCAGAGGAAAGAGGTAAGAATTAAGAAATAATTGCCACAATCGGCAAGCAACTTACTAAGCCCTAAGTACATCGGGTCAGATTTTATCCACTGGGCAAAAGAGACCATTATTCGTGAAGAAATATGTGGTGATTAGTGACCGTTAATCGATAATTATTCGGAAATCGTGAGATGCGGTCTGATGTGATGTAAGTCTCAAAAAAATATTTTCTTTATCGTGCCAACGTTTCGATCTTTATTGAGATCATCTTCAGGGCTCAAAGTGTTTGTCCTCTGTGTAATTGTGCCATTCTTGCGTGTCGTGTTGAGAGTGCCCAAGGGCAGGCCTGCCAAGAGAAGGGCACTCTCAACACGACACGCAAGAATGGCACAATTACACAGAAGACAAACACTTTGAGCCCTGAAGATGATCTCAATAAAGATCGAAACGTTGGCACGATAAAGTAAATATTTTTCTGAAACATACATCACACCAGACCGCATCTCACGATTTCTGAATAATTATTCGTGAAGAAAAACCTAATTCACGACGAAATTTGATCATGATAGAAATGACCAAATTACTGTCACTGTGGATTCTACTCAGAGCATAAAATTTTTTAAAAACAAGCCTTTTTTGATCAAAAGGAATAAGGCAGTGCTTTGCTCTTGACACAAGGCTTCTCGCTCCTTAAAACACCAAGTTGCACCAAGTGTCTGCAGTCGTTTTTTCGACGTTTTGACCACAATCGAATTAGATCATGATGCGACCATTTATTGGCTGTAAGCCTGAGGTAAACTTTCCCGTTCATCAAGAACAGCCGTTTTCAACTTTTGTAGGGACATCTTGGTCCCAAATGTGTTCACAATGTGTGCACTGCATGTTTTAAAAAATTTTCTTGTAAGTACCTGTGTGAAGTTAGCAATCTTTCTCGCACAACAACCAATTCGATGCGGGCATCCAAGGAAATGTAACCCCAGAACATCAATGACCCACCATGCAATGTCACCTGAGGAACCGACAAATCGAGGTGTACCTTTCCCCTGAGAGTACATCTCAAGATTTGAGGCAACTCACCTCATCTGTAAAGAGAACTCGTCCCCGATCATCCATTCACATGTTCCGTGCAAATCGGCCGCTGTCTGAGCTGTGGTAAGAAAGCTGAAAGCTGTCCATCAATAACCCGCCTATTCAACTTACCCTTGGGACCGGTATTTTCCCTGACTCCTGGAAACTTTCTTATGTTCTCCCGTGAACAAAAAGGGTGCTAGATCGAATATGTTGAACTACCGGACCATTAGGAAAAATCCTTCCATCGCTAATGTCATGGATTCCATTGTAGCGGGCGTTTTAGCAGCCGCGTATAAGTTCTGTACATAGATCGACATAGTTCATGAAAGGTCGATCGACTTCAACTAATTTAATCCTTTGTAAAGATTTTATACTATATGCTTTTCATTATGGCCGCGAGGTTTATTCCGTTTATACTGTCACCCTCACATTTTAGGGATGACACGTTTACTCACTTTTGGAAAGTGAATGGGGCACATTAGAATGCGGAGTGGGAGAAGGTCGAAGGAGGGGAGATGTTGGAGTTGAACTGGAAAAAAGAGATCAGGTGTGTTCCAGACTCGATAACGGTTGCTCGAACCTAACATAAATTCTGCCTTAATTTAGTTACCACCAGGGTGAGTTGAGCGATTGTGCTGTACCGTTGTGTGGTTGCAGGTTGGAATTGGGGAGAAGAGTTAAACGTCTTAGTTAACCTATGTTATAATTTTGGTTTAGCTTGTATATATATATATATGTCTTGTAAATATATTTTGTTTTCAGTCGATTTATTTTCAGCAAGTGTGCTTTTGTTTGTTTTATTTTACGTTTCCTCTACCCTTTACTATCCCAAGTTTTAGGAGTGTTGGACCCTTATTTGTCATGTCGACGTCACAATACTGACAGTGGATCAATTTGCGATTCGCAAGTTGGTGAGGGTTAGTAAACCGCTGTTGAGTCCGTTCTTTACTGAATGGTAGATCTTTTCGTGTTAATTTTCTAGGGGTTTTTTTTCGGACGAAGTATCTATGGGATCGAGAGTCCCTCAGGGATCAGATATGGAGCCAATCTTGTTAACTATTTTCTTTAATGACGTTGCTAATTCTATTAAATTTTCTAAACTGACTTTCTTGGCTGATGACAACAATTTACAAACGCATCTCTACGTCTAATGATTGTTTGTTGTTACGAAAAGATATTTCTGCTTTTTATGACTGATGCAAGCTCAACAGACTTTCGATTAATCTACATAAATTTCCTTTTCTGCAAAAAAAAAAGTACTTTCACGTATCACATTCCTTAGGTGATGTCCCTCTCAGGGAGGTCTCCGTGATTACTGATTTTGGGGTGTTGTTTAATAAGAAGTGGACCTTTGAAGATCATCATTCATGATCAATAGGGCATACAGAAACTTATATTAAACGTATGACGTCTGACTTTAAAAGTGTTTACGCAATAAAAATATTGTATCAGTCTTTAGTTAGGAGCATTCTTCAATAAGGTGATTTAATTTGGTCACCTTATCACAAAATCCTGAACGATTTAGAAATGAATCAGAGAAAAGCTATCAAATACTTAAAATTTAAATCTGGTCTTAACTTCACTATGTACTACGCGGCCGACGCATTGAATATGGACTCCTTGGTCATTCTTCATGCTTCTTTTTCGCTATTCGGATGGAAGATTTTAAACGGTTTTATTGATGCCCTAGAAATTCTATCATCTATTCTTCTATTCACTCAGCTTATAGCGGCCCATAGACGGTCAATATTATTGTACAATATAGATTGCACAATATTGACGCTTGCCCCTTAACGTTCAATAATATTGTACAAAATTTTGTTTCTGTAATGAACTTGAACAGTTTGAAGGCGATATTGAAGTTTGTGCAATATTTTGTTACTACTTGTTGTACTTCACAAACTGACTGATATTGCGCAATAATGCCAACAGACGGTTCAATATTTACCAGGTTGTGCAATATATTGGGTTGTCCGGAAAATAATGCAGGATTTTAAGTTTTCATTCAAAAAAATCTATATAAAATATTCTGTTTACGTTTACAGGATTACTCATTTGTATGAATGTCAACACTTATTAATCCTCTTCCAAATGATATTGTTTGTTTACCTCTGTAGCATTCCGCTACTTGGAAATAATTCAGTCATCCTTATAATGTCAAAGCGAGAATTTCGTACGATTTTCTTTTACGAGTTTAAACTCGGCCGAAGCGGAGCCCAAACGGCTAGAAACATTAACCAAGTCTGGGGCGAGGGTTGTGTTAATGAGTGCACTGTGCAAAGGTGGTTTAAAAAATTTCGGGAGGGAGATTTCAGCCTTGAAGATGAAGAAGGTCGTGGAAGGCCTTCCTCTCTTAATGATGATGTTCTGCGATCAGTGGTGGAAGAAAACCCCAAAACAACTGTTCGAGAACTTGCAGAGCAACTCAAAGTCAGTAAAACGACCGTCGCTGACCACCTCAAGGCGATTGGAAAAGTGAAAAAACTCGAAAATTGGGTTCCACACTCATTAAACGATCGCCAAAAAAATCAGCGCTTTGATGTTTGTACATCACTTCTTTGTCGAAACAAAAATGACCCATTTCTGGCCAGAATTGTTACATGTGACGAAAAGTGGATTCTGGACAGTGGCTCGACAAAGGAGAAGCTCCAATACATTTTCCAAAGCCCCCAACTCATCAAAAAAAGGTAATGGTTACGGTATGGTGGGCTTCATTTGGTTTAATACACTACAGCTTCTTAAATCCTGGCGAAACCATCAATGCTGAATCATACTGTAACCAAATTAATACCATGCATCAGAAATTGGCAGTAATGAAGCCCTCTTTGGTCAATCGGAAAGGGCCCATTTTGTTGCATGACAACGCTCGACCACATGTGTCACGTGTAACGTCACAAAAATTATTGGAGCTTGGCTATGAAACTTTGCCTCACCCACCCTACTCTCCGGACCTCTCGCCTACTGACTACCATTTTTTTAGACACCTGGACCACTACTTACAACACATAATATTCAAAAATCAAACGGAACTGGAAAATGCATTTATTGACTTTATCAA